ATTTTATATATGTGATAAATAGAATATTATATTTGTGTAGATCAAATACTAAATTTATTGAACTCATTGAATATAACAATATTATGCTCACCAGATGCTTGCATAATATGATTTTATTCAACTTGTTCAATAAATTTAGTTATAAACCAAACCTCATTCAATATCCTCTATGTATTCAACATAATATATTCCATTTTAATAATTATTCAATTCTAAAACAGTAATGTAAACACACACACTAATGCACACACACACATGCACGCACTCACACACACACACATATACACATACATACACAAGCACTCACACATGCTCTCTCATGCTTAAAAATCTTTTTGTCCCCTTTTTTGTATAGTGATGAATACAAATGTTATTAGTTTTCTTTACAGATAGGTTTTTTAGCATTATTAGGTTTTTTTAGCATTATTTTACTCTTGATTTACACGACAATTCTTATGTGACAGAGGATATTCCATTTTGTCTTTAGGTAATGCAATTTGTTCTTCTATTTGTATTGTACTATATAACATTTTTCTAAATATTTCAAAACTAAAATATTTTTGATATCTTAATCCTCAGTTTTGTTCAGCATTTACCTTGAATCAAAATTGACCCAATCACCCCACCCATTCATAAAAATCTTGGACTCTTAAAAGACCTCTTTTAAGGATCATTTTCCACAGGGCAAGAAACATTATGTAATTATGTAAGCTTTTCTTCATAGATCTTTTGAAATTTATTAAGTTTTGAAATTTTCACTAAATATCCAAGACAAGAAGTTTGTAGGTTCTTGAATGGGTCCATCCAATTTTATCACCTTGAAGTTGATCATTTAAAACCTCTTTTATAATATGTTAGCTGATTCACCCGGGACAATTTGTGTATTTTTATGTATTTTTGAAATAAAAGTTACACACCTTACCCATTAAGTATAATGGTGTGGTTTAAAGCTGCATGCCTCCAGATGAGTAAAATTATTTCAATATAACCATACTTGAAAAATATGTACTAAGATTTCAGGAAAAGTAAAATGATTCAAGATTCAAGTAATATTTTACATGTTATTTGCAATAAATGACTGATTTTTCAATATTTACAACTATATTTCTACTGTGTTACTAACGCAATAAGAGCTATTTATGCATAATTTGACCACTTTTTGGTAATTAATGAGGTTATAAAGCGCCATTGAAAATGTGTAAATTGCTTCCTTAAGGTTATTTCACAATGTTATACATTCAAATACATTTTCAAAATTTTCATGAAAATAAGCATAAATCTGGAGGCGTGCTGCTTTAATCATAGTTCTAGTATATTTACTGTTGTACACTGTTATAGATATGTTTTATTGGAGTTTTTGCATGTGCTAAAAATGCAACTTATATCTGGCTGGTATAATGGATTAATATAAGAAATATTATGCTCATCTTTGGAAAAACTACTGTTATTGCAGAACTTTTTTTTTTAAATGTTGAGAATTCAAACTAAATTTGTCTTAATTTGAATATGTTTTGGAATATGCATTCTCTGTTACTGACCTTTCTTAAAAAAAAACTGCAAGTTGTTTTTGTAATGACACCATGTATCTAGACTGTGATAAAATGTGTAGCAGTGTCCCAGTGTGCACTCAAAACTTATAAAACACAACTCTACATTAAAAACATAAACCATAGTTATAAATATCAATGTTTTCAAATATAAAATTTGAGCATAATATATCTTTAAGTTAGGTTAGTTATTTGAAGAATAAATACATTTAATACCTTATATGTGGTTTTTCTAACTTAAGAAATAATATTATTGAGACAGTGTCCCCTGAAACATTCAGGTGTCTGTGGCAAAGGTCTGTCTGTGTGTTCATTGCAAAATAGTGTAATACAATACTTCACCATGATGAGTGGTGTGTCACATGGTAAACCCAGGTCTGTTTTTCAAAGGTTAAGGTCACACTTGAGGGGACGATGCAAATGATTGTCCAGAGTGTAATTTCTTCAGGCAAAGGGTCGCTCGAAAAATACAGGCGTCTGTGGCAAAGGTCAAGGTACTACTTGAGGGTCAAAGGTTGAATAAATTAAACATTCATTTGAGAGTATAACTTCTATATATACATGGCTGGATTTTAATATCACTTAGAATGGGAGAGTTGTCATTTGCAAAATGAAGGTCAAGGTTACAAGAGGTCAAAGGTAAAATTACAATATTGTTTGTTTTGGGTTTTATGTCACATCGACACAGTATAGGTCTATCGCGGCGTTCCAGCTTTACTGGTGGAGGAAGAACTCAGGCGCCCTTCCATGCATTATTTCAGGCACGAACGGGCACCTGATTAGAACCACCAGCTAGCTGGAGAGCTTCCTCACATGAAAGAATCCAAAGTCCCTGTCGGGATTCGAACCCAAAGCGGTGAGGGGCAAGTGGTCCCTCTATTAAAAAACCTATTAGGAGAAAGATTGTTTACTTAACTTTTAAATGATGTTTTTTACAAAAAATATTCTGAAGTATATAAATTATAAATTCTTCCTTTCTCTACAAATTCACATACAAATTAGTACTTTCATCAATAAAACATATTATTTTCCTTGAGTGGATTAGTACTTTCATCAATAAAACATATTATTTTCCTTGAGTGGAGCTAGGTCTGTGACCGTGAAAATTTTAAAAAATGAAATTTTTATGAAAATATATAAAAAGCAATAAAATTAACCACTACCATTTATATATAATTATGGGTCGAGTTCGTAAAGGGCCGAAATTTGTTTTAGAGTTGACCCTGATTTCTGGATAAGTGGGGCTTTTTTTGCCTTTTATTACATTATATATAGAGCAAGGCAGGCTATTATCGAACCCTTAGATGACCTTTGTATTAAATACTGGATAATTATGTCAGACAATGATGCTGCACTGCAGTTGATTGCGATAATAAAAATATTCATTATTGCAAAAAAAATTTAAGAGGGGGGGGGGGGGGGTTGGGGGAGTTTCTGGGGACTGAATTGCCTTGGTACCCATACAAATATAATTTGTTATGGTCCAAATTGTCAACGGTCCATTTGATAGTCACACAGGATACTTATTATTATATGTCCTTAACAGATTGCACTTTCTTGATTAATGATGAAACAAAGCCTTATGGTGAAACAAAACCTTTTAAATAATATATAATGTTTACATTTTCTCATAATGATCGCTATATTCAATCCCCACCCACCTGTCCACCACTATTTTTCTTATTTATTATCAAATATGATAAAATTATGTTATCACAGAAGTAGCTCTTAACATCATATACTGATCTGTGTTATTAATTGATAATTTTAAGTCTGCAATTTTATCATTAACAGTAAACTTGCAGTTCTCATGACTTGCGAGTCTCATGAACCCCAACATGAAATCGGCAAGTCATTTCGAAACCGGAAACGGAACTTGCATATCTCATGGTACTTGCACATCTCATACGACACCGGCAACCTACTGAAAGGGGAAACGAACATTTTTTAGAACAGGTTCAAAAGCACATGGACAAAATCAACGCAGCCTGGGCTACTGTTCAGAAAGAATTAGATGTTGATGTAGATAATAATTATACAAGTCTTGCACAGTTAAATATATCCATTGACTTTAAATTTAGAAAATTTCGTAGACTATGCTTTGAATATTCAGATTTTTTAGACAGAACACGTACCGAAGACAGCATGAGGAGACTTCGGGAATTCGGTCATACAAACAAAATGAATTAGATGATAGTAAATGTGTTCACTCGAAATCAAGCAGAAAATCAAAGAGCAGCTCTATTTCAACATCAAGTTCATTGGCTGCAAATATAGGGCGGAAAAAACAGCACTTGCTTGTTTGGAGGCAATTTTATGTTTTTTATTGCTTATATGACATTGTAAACAACATTCCCATGGGACTTTGTCAAACTATCCTTCAAAAGAGAAACATGTAAATCTAACATGCAAGATTTTCTTACAGCACAGTCTCTCTGGAATTTTCGGCAGTCAATAAAAGGCAGGTTTTTTCATCAGTGTTTAATTCAGTTAACATCTCCATAACTTTCCTGACAATTTTCCAAAACTCTTATCGATTTTTAGAAATTTTTATTAATTTTGTTAATATTTTTATATATCATGTGACTTATCATCTTACACAATCTTTATGCTTTAGATAGATTTATTTTTGTAAATTTTATCCTGATGAAGATCCAGATAGGTTCAAAACCGGTAGATCTTTATTAAAATTTTGTTCACATTTATCCGGTGTTGACATGTGGTTTCTTTGTATTCTTTCTTTTCATCCAGTGTTTAATTTAGAAAAGATAAAGGGTTATTTTTATAGGCAGCTGATAATATAAAATGATCTTGTTCAATTGTATTTATTTTTTTACATATGCAAATGGCTTAAAGTAAATTTATTATTGCCATTTTTTTTTTTTGGAAGACTTGAGATAACGTGTGGGGTATTTATTGCATGACTCAGACTGCAATTTAGTGGTAAAATCTAGATTTACCATGTACATTATATAAATAAAATATAGATGAATAATAAATAAATTAAGTAATAACATGCACCTGATCAAAATACGATACTTAATTTTGACTTCATTTTTTTTCTTTTTCATTGATAAAATATAAGAGGTTCACAATTTACTAGAAAAAGGAATGCCCCAAGCCGGCTAGTGGATGAAGGAGTTGAATCTCATGCTAAAACTGTTGATAGCCAAAATGATATCCAGAAAACGGTCCCTGTTGCAGTTGGTGGCTTGGAGGTGCCAGTTTAGGTTAATCAGCCAACCCAACCTGTTGGTTCTACTACTAGTTCTGCTTCAGGTGCTGATGTGTTAGGTAATATATTACCTGAAGTAGCACTTTTCGAACCCTGAACGATCCCTTCAATAAGATCAGACTTTGGGTTAGCAGTCACTCAGATAGTTCGGGATAAAGTGAGGTCAGGCCAATATGTTTATACACAATGTATTATAATTCTTTAATTATGATTTTTAGATGAAGCTGCAGAAAATGTGGCATATGAAGAAGCAGAAGTTGGATTGGAGATAGATGATGGTATGATTGAAGAGGAGTTGGAAATAGATGAAGATGTACCGAGATTCAGTTCAATAATAAGGTTTGTACACATTATTTGGACAAAGCAATTTATCATGCACTCAGGATAACGGTATGTTGCTTTTAGTATATTAATACAGAACCGTACATGAAGTACGGAATTTTGTTATCTTCCTTTCTGGAAAACACCGTGAAGAAAAAAGTCGAATTCATTTGCAGAGAAGCATTTCTTTTTTAATTACTATTTTCTTCACTTATTAACAGTATTTCTTTTGCACAATTGATACCTGATTATAAATAGTCCATTTTGGCTCTGTATACATGTCATGTTTATTGCAAAAAAAGTTTATAGACGGTAAAAGAATTTGGTCACGTTGCCATCGCATGCTCTATGATGACGTCATAATTACAATTATTAATTCTTGAAGAATATTCTATTTAATTAGTACAAAAACACATGTTTTAATCATTGTCAGCTAACATGATATGTTGGTTTTTGAACACGGGTGCCTTAGCGGCCTACGTATAAATATTTATTAATGACTTAAATTTACGACTTTAAATTTAATAATTAGATATAGAGCTAGATCTATTTGATACGATGAAGTCGTCATCATCAGATGATCTACTTCCAGTACAACTAATAATAATGATAATAATAATAATTAAAAAATAATAATATTAAATAAATAAAAAAATAAATAAAAATAAAATAAATAAACTAAATAATAAATAATAAAATAAAAATATCTAGAATCTAATAATAATAGATTCTATATAGAATATCTAGGTAGATAAATAAACTGGTATTTTATTTATTGATTAATTACCAGCTAATCTGGGATTAGAACCTAGTGCCCGAACAGCCTTACTAATGTCAACTGATTATTTAATATCTTTTTAATTTTCTATTAATAAAATTATCTTTGTCGTAGATGCCAAAAGCAAAACCAAGGTCAAGGAAGACTAGGTCGGAATTAAGAGAAAATAATCAACAAGGTGTCCAGCCCCTGCATCAGCAGGTCTTGCAGCGTAGGGCATGTCAGTCACCCCCTGATGTCCAACCACCTGTACAGCCTCCTGTGATTGTACAGCAACCTGCTGTCCAGCCTTTTTTTGTTGACATACAGCAACATGTTCAACCACCTGTCAGTCAGCCTCTTTGAATTACGACATCTCAGGAATGTGAGGATTTAAGTAAATCCACAAGATGCATAGTTTAACTTGAACAGTTGAAAGTCTTAGCTAGTATACATGTAGAAAAATGTTCAACACTTGATTGTACAAAATCTCCAAAGATTCCTACTGACTTTGTGGGATCTGGTTTGTATTTGATATGGGTATGTCTCTCATTTTTTTAATTAATTTATTAATACATAACTTCATTGGCCTTTGTTTAAGTGAATTCTTTATGAATTATTATTATCAGATGGAGAACATATGTCAGATGTTGGATTAAACCTACTTGTTTAAGAATGCATTAAAGGTACATTTTGCAAAATTTAATATAATATAAGAAAAAAGTAAGTTGGTAAATTAAAAACAAAAAAGATTTTTAACAAATTTGAAGGGCAAACATGTTAAAAAATTCAATTTCAGGTTCATATCAAAGTTAATTTTACAGAAAAAGTACTTAAAAAGGTGAATCAAAGCAGTAGGTAAGTTTCAAGTATTTTCTTTTTAAACTTTTATGGCAAACACTCAAAGTAAATTTATTATAGCCCCTTTTTTTTTTTTGAAGGCAAAAAACCTTGAGAATAACCCCAGGGGGGGGGGGTATTTATATTTCCATAAAACTCAGGGAACTTGCAATTTTTTAAAATTCTTAAGATTTACCCCAAATTTTACATTATATAAATTGAATTATAGATGAAAATAAATTTAAAATTTAAGAAATAAATTTTGACCTATAAAAAAGGATACCTATAATTTTGCCCCAAAATTTTTTTTTTTTTCAATTTTTTAAAATATAAGTTGGTTTAAACAAAATTTTAAATTTTTTTAAAGAAAAAAAATGCCCCAAAGGGGCCGGCTAATTGAAGGGTTGAATTTGAAAAAATTTGTAGATTTAGCAAATGATAAAAAAACTCCTTTGTCTTGGCTTGAAGTGGCCTTTTCATTAAATAGGCCAAGCCCCGGTGGGGCCAATTTTGGCCCAGGGCTATTATTTGGAAATTTACTAAGAGCACTTTTAACCCAATAATACCTTAGTAAGTCTAGTTTTTGGGGTTTGCTCCAAGATGTTTAAAGTTTTATACAATGAAATTTATGAAAATCAATTTAGATTTTGCCCAAGGGTATTTTTGAAACTGGAAGGTTAAAAGAAGAGGCAAAATATTAAGTTGGGTTTTGGTTTTAAAGAAGGATTAAATTAATAATGTCCCAAAAAACATTACAAAATATGGCCCCATTTGTTCATATCATCTTGTAGAATGTTTAGGTATCTCTTCCTACATTAATTATAAATATGTCTGATATGTTATTTTTTTCTACATATAGAGCAATGGATCTGAGTCGGAGGAAAGAAAGACAGAGTTGGTTGGTCGAGGACGTGGTAGAGGTAGAGGTGTAAGGGGTCGTAGTTCAGGTGAAAGCGCTTAGTCCAGTAGGGGAAGAGGTAGAGGGAGAGGACGTGGACGAAGCAAAAGCAAGGGTAGAAGCCCACAAAGACTTGAAAAGTCAGACAAGGAAAGAATAGAGGATATGTGGGAAAAAAGGAAAGAGGAAATGAAGGTATAAACAAATCTTTAGAAAGATTTTTATGATTTTATTAAAATACTAGTGTAGATCTAGTTTTGATTATAGTTTACATAATATTGTTTCAACTGTGAACATCTTCATAAAGAAATAAATTTTAAAAGGCATATCTAAAGTAATATTTTAAATTTAATATTAATATGTATTTAGTGGCGTATGCTGTGGTGATGAGACGGGATTAGCTAACAAGCCTCTAGAACGATCTTTATATATTCTTTGATACAACATTTAATAAATAACAAAAATTGCTAATATTAAATTCACACCTTTCATTATAATTTCAAAATTTGTGAATTTAGTGGATCAAAAAAGTTTAAGTAATTTGTCGGAATAGCTTATCATTTTTCTACTTTATTTCAGGGCATTATTGCCAGAGTAGATGAACACAAGTTGAGAGAATTGGTTCTGAATATAATAGAACGTGAGCCAGGACTAATTTTTGACTTGTGCGAGGCAGCAGGGGATGGAAACGGTGGGGATAGACCAGATCCAAAAACACAGACTTATCCTGTCCCTAGTTGGTGCAAATGCAACAGTTACCGTGCAATGCCCACAGACTTGAAGAACAAGTGCTGTGGCTGCTTGCCAAGAAACTGCATAGCAGCTAGACCTGTAAGTATGATTATTTCATCATGTACCAACTGTATGAATATAGGCAGTAACTTCAGCAGTTCACCCATATCAGAGTGCACAAATTTTGCCAATACAATGTACTAAATGATTGATTTGCCAGTCAGCGAATACTTTCAAGGATATTCTGTTTATTATGCAAAGTTTGGATGTAAACAGTCAATAGATGAGTATAACCTGTCAAGTGCAAACCAATAGAATTGTGATCAATCTTATCAAAATGTTGTTATGGATGTTCTTTCAGTACTATCGATATGTTTTAGTAACAATTATCAACAAAATGAAAATAACTATATTAACAGCTTATGAACAATCATCAAATTTATTTAGAAAATAACTAGTACTGACCATTTTCACAAAATTTCAACTGAAGTTATTAAATTTGTCATGGTAATTTGAGCCGCATCATGACAAAACCAACATAATGGGTTTGCGACCAGCATGGATCCAGACCAGCCTCCACATCTGCGCAGTCTGGTCTGGATCCATGCTGGTCGCAAATGTTGGTTTTGTCGTGACGCGTCTCATTTCTGCTAACTTCTAATCATATGAATTTGTTTATATTGTTTATTCCAATCCGTAAATAACTAGTACTGACCATTTTCACAAAATTTCAACTGAAGTTATTAAATTTGTCATGGTAATTTCTGCTTACTTCTAATCATATTGTATCTTACTGTATGTGATCTGCTGTGAATTTTAAAATGCATTTGAAACTGTCTAAAGTGGTCACCTGTATAAAGTAGTCATCTGTACAGCAAATGGACAGGATTGTCCTTGACCTAGAGGTGCTTGCCATTGGCAACAGGTATTATAGAGACATGCTTTGTCGGCACAGTCAGAGGGTAGAGGACAATAATAAGAGTAAACGACACACTGCCTACAGAAACTTTACCTTGTGGAGGCATGGAAGGCTTGGGGCAGGAATTAGACGGGTTATCCCGAGTTGTTGCATTTGGCACAGACATTTAGTGCATTTTTTAAGTAAAAACACACCATATCAAATTTCTTGGCTCTGTATTTTGAAGCTTCAGGCAAAAAGGCCAAAAGTGCCGAGAAATAAAATGTTTAAAATAGTTTATTTGCATAAGACAAAATTACAAATGAACATGTCAAAAGCTCTTATTCTTACTGAAGGACTGCTTTCAGAAGAATGTACTGAAAAAGAAGACGAAATAATCAACAACATAAAAACAATATTTAGAAACTCCAACATATCAAGTGAAGCAGAGACAGTAAATATTCCGACATATTCATCCAAGACTTTGTCTCAGCCATGTTTAGCTGCTGATTTTTCAATGGTCTCTTGAAACACTGGAGATGAATGTGGGACAGGGAAAACTTTATATTATGGTTCATTTGAATGTCCCGGTAAGCTTTATGAAATACAGTGAAACCTCCCTACAACAGCCAGCAACCAGATAGTCAAAATTGTTCAGTATTTTCTGCAAAAAATAGCTTTTATAGGCACTAAAACAGACTTTAAACAAGAAACATGGCAATGCCATGAAACCAGGTTTTCAATTATCACCATTGTAGATAAATATGTTGTATTTGAAATACAAATACAAGCAACAAACAATGTAACTATGTGCAATGTAAAACATGAATAATGTAGGAGGAATTGCCACTGAAGAAGTGTTCACTATAATATTATGTATAAGGAAAAAAACAAAGGGCCATAATTAGGTCAAAAAACTATCCAATCACAAAACCCCGACAATATGTGCCAGGGTGCTTGATGACAAAGCTTCTGTGAAAGTTTGAACAAAATCCGTTGAGAAATGTAGGACGAGTTCAGCACAGAAGAATTTGTTCACTATAATTATATTGATAATTCTGTATAATGAAAAACAAGTTACAAAGTAGACATGAAATAATATATCATATCTTTTTTAAATTACCTCCAAAGATGATATGACCTTTGACTGCCAAATCAAGTTAAAATCATGTAAACAGGATTTTCAATGTTAATGTCACTGTGACCTTGACCTTGGAGCCAGCCATGCGGAACATGCGTTCTGCACGTCATTTTGATGTGGTAAACATTTGTCTGAAGTTTCATCAAAATTCTTCAAATGGTTGAAGAGTTACAGAGCGGACAGGATTTTCAATGTTAATGTCACTGTGACCTTGACCTTGGAGCCAGCCATGCGGAACATGCGTTCTGCACGTCATCTTGATGTGGTAAACATTTGTCTGAAGTTTCATCAAAATTCTTCAAAGGGTTGAAGAGTTACAGAGCGGACAGGATTTTCAATGTTAATGTCACTGTGACCTTGACCTTGGAGCCAGCCATGCGGAACATTGCGTTCTGCACGTCATCTTGATGTGGTAAACATTTGTCTGAAGTTTCATCAAAATTCTTCAAAGGGTTGAAGAGTTACAGAGCGGACAGGATTTTCAATGTTAATGTCACTGTGACCTTGACCTTGGAGCCAGCCATGCGGAACATGCGTTCTGCACGTCATCTTGATGTGGTAAACATTTGTCTGAAGTTTCATCAAAATTCTTCAAAGGGTTGAATAGTTACAGAGCGGACAGGATTTTCAATGTTAATGTCACTGTGACCTTGACCTTGGAGCCAGCCATGCAGAACATGCGTTCTGCACGTCATCTTGATGTGGTAAACATTTGTCAGAAGTTTCATCAAAATTCTTCAAAGGGTTGAAGAGTTACAGAGCGGACAGGATTTTCAATGTTAATGTCACTGTGACCTTGACCTTGGAGCCAGCCATGCGGAACATGCGTTCTGCACGTCATCTTGATGTGGTAAACATTTGTCTGAAGTTTCATCAAAATTCTTCAAAAGGTTGAAGAGTTACAGAGCGGACAGGATTTTCAATGTTAATGTCACTGTGACCTTGACCTTGGAGCCAGCCATGCGGAACATGCGTTCTGCACGTCATCTTGATGTGGTAAACATTTGTCTGAAGTTTCATCAAAATTCTTCAAAGGGTTGAAGAGTTACAGAGCGGACAGGATTTTCAATGTTAATGTCACTGTGACCTTGACCTTGGAGCCAGCCATGCGGAACATGCGTTCTGCACGTCATCTTGATGTGGTAAACATTTGTCTGAAGTTTCATCAAAATTCTTCAAAGTGTTGAAGAGTTACAGAGCGGACAGGATTTTCAATGTTAATGTCACTGTGACCTTGACCTTGGAGCCAGCCATGCGGAACATGCGTTCTGCACGTCATCTTGATGTGGTAAACATTTGTCTGAAGTTTCATCAAAATTCTTCAAAGGGTTGAAGAGTTACAGAGCGGACACAATTTCGTTTGACGCCCGCCCATCCGCCCAGCCGCCCATCCGCCCATCCGCCCGCCATACCCCAATCTAATAACCAGGATTTTCAAAATTGAAAACCTGGTTAAAAAGGATTTTGCCATTCATGAAATGTGCATAAAACTTTGCAACAGAATGTTTTTGGTCTTCAGAAATTAAGCTCATTCAAGGTAAATTTTCTTATTGTTATCATTTTTATTTTTGTATAAAATAGTCTTTAAAACATAGAACTGGAAGTGTACTTGCAAATGGCTCATCATATAAAAATGTGAGCTTTGATGTTATATGAATTTTGGCCTACTTTCACTTTGGACAGACTTTGTGAAAACAAACATGGCTGACAAAGCGGAATCACCTTAAGGCAGCTACCCACTATGTTCCGATGCAAGCTGCCATGTTGGAATGAACGAACCAATGAGATTGGTTGTTACAAATTTGATTGGTGTATCCCACAATGCTAATTATTGTGCATATAAAAAATTTTTTAACCTCATAAATATGTGTTTTACAACATAAATATAATTTAATATTTTTTTTCTAATTATTGTTCATATATTTTTCATTGTCCAAAATTTTTTTTAAACACGTCTTTTTAAGAACATAAATATATTTTATACAACAATTATTATTTTCTAATAATTGACCATAATTATTTTTTTTTGTCCATATATATTGTTTTATTGTCCATAAATATATTTTTTATTGTCCATATATATATTTTCATTGTCCATATATATTGTTTTATTGTCCATAAATATATTCTTTATTGTCCACATATATATATATATTGTCAATATATATGCTTTTTTAACTTCACAAATATGTTTTTAGAACATAAATATAATTTATTGAACAAATATTTTTTTTATACAATTTTGCAACACTCCACACGCCATAGTTATGGATGTTCTTTCAGTACTATCGATATGTTTTAGTAACAATTATCAACAAAATGAAAATAACTATATTAACAGCTTATGAACAATCATCAATTTATTTATAACATAATACTGATTATTTCTACATAGAAATAACTCGAGTTTAGTTTGGTGCTTGGGTTTTTCTTCTTGCTATTTATAGCACATAATCGGATTGGTTCTGTTATTACTACCGTGGTTGAGTATAAATACCAGTCACCGGATGTACAATTCCTTTCCGCTTTTACAAACGAAAGAAACACAGCGTATTTTTTGTATCGTAACAATCGAATAAATCAACAATGCCGGGTTGTGGGAGAGGCGTTAAGAGAAGGTCAACGACTGTGCCTGTTGATCAAGGAAGACAGCGGGTTTGTTTGGAGGAAGACGAGAGTGATAGAAGTACAGATATATGGTTAGTTGGGGATTCTATCATCCATTGGGCTGGCGTTAGGGCAGGCAACACTGGAAAACCTAATTTAAAAACAGGTTAGGTAAAGTGTTAGGATGGTACGGAACCAGGGGTATGTCTTGGGAAAGTTTCCTACATAGCCTACAATTAAAAATTGCTTTTCAAAGTCCACCTTCAATATTTCTTGTTCATTTGGGTGGCAATGATGTAACTGGTCTGTCTATGACACATATATTTAATTTAATATCCCTCGGGGCTTAAGTATGTAGCCAGTACGTTCCCTTCATGTGATGTAATTTGGTGCGACATCTTACCTAGGTTAGATTGGGGAACTCGTCAGGACAAGAAAATAGCCGATGAGAAACGTCGGCGGATAAATCGCCATGGCAGGCAAGTAGTGCGCTCACTAGCGAAAGGCTATATCTTGTCCATTGACATTGATGGTTCTACTCCAGGTTTTTTCCGCAAAGACGGTGTTCATTTATCTGATGTTTGATTAGAGTTGTTCCTAGATTCTTTAAAGGATAGTTTACCTTCTTGCCTTTGAATTTTGGGGAATAAATTTTTTTTTTAAATTTCTTGTGGCGGAGAATTCTGGTAGCCGAGAACCAGTCATGAAAAATATGTTTTTAGAACATAAATATAATTTATTGAACAAATATTTTTTTATACAATTTTGCAACACTCCATAGTTATGGATGTTCTTTCAGTACTATCGATATGTTTTAGTAACAATTATCAACAAAATGAAAATAACTATATTAACAGCTTATGAACAATCATCAAATTTATTTATAAAATAATACCGATTATTTCTACATAGAAATAACTAGAGTTTATTTTGGTGCTTGGGTTTTTCTTCGTGCTATTTATAGCACATAATCGGATTGGTTCTGTTATTACTACCGGGGTTGAGTATAAATACCAGTCACCGGATGTACAATTCCTTTCCGCTTTTACATCCGAAAGAAACACAGCGTATTTTTTGTATCGTAACAATCGAATAAATCAACAATGCCGGGTCGTGGGAGAGGCGTTAAGAGAAGGTCAACGATGGTGCCTGTTGATCAAGGAAGACAGCGGGTTTGTTTGGAGGAAGACAAGAGTGATAGAAGTACAGATATATGGTTAGTTGGAGATTCCATCATCCATTGGGCTGGCATGCAACACGGGAAAACATAATTTAAAAACAATTAGGTAAAGTGTTAGGATGGTACGGAACAAGGGGTATGTCTTGGGAAAGTTTCCTACATAGCCTACAATTAAAAATTGCTTTTCAAAGTCCACCGTCAATATTTCTTGTTCATTTGGGTGGCAATGATGTAACTGGTCTGACTATGACACGTATATTTAATTTAATATACCTCGGGCTTAAGTATGTAGCCAGTACATTCCCTTCATGTGATGTAATTTGGTGCAACATCTTACCTAGGTTAAATTGGGGAACTTATCAGGACAAGAAAATAGCCGATAAGAAACGTCGTCGGATAAATGGCAGGCAAGTAGTGCGCTCACTAGTGAAAGGCTATATCTTGTCCATTGACATTGATGGTTCTACTCCAGGTTTTTTCCGCAAAGACGGTGTTCATTTATCTGATGTTTGATTAGAGTTGTTCCTAGATTCTTTAAAGGATAGTTTATCTTCTTGCCTTTGAATTTTGGGGAATAAATTTTTTTTTAAATTTCTTGTGGCGGAGAATTCTGGTAGCCGAGAACCAGTCATGTTTATGTATAAATTTTTCAAAACTGTTGCTCTCGGTGGTCTCTATGGTACATCCATCGGGAAAAGCGGTTCGTAAAGTATTTACGCTTATGTCTGTAGTCTGGTATATATTTCATCTATTCGATGGTCTTGTTTCGACAGAATATCCTTCTATAAGCTGGAATTACTAGATTACATTAATTTCAAAATTGGAATTTTTTATATGAGTCCTGGGTTTTGCTCAAAGCTTGCGCTATGCTCGGTATTTCCCAGGTGTCTCTTTGGCATTTTTAAGTAACTGAGTATTTGCTTGAAAGTTGCTCCCATTTATTTCCCAATAATGCATTGGCTCCTGTCTATTCGCTTGGAAAAGTCTACCATATGCATTTTATTACCGCATTTACACATTTGGCACCCTCGCATATCAATTATGCAGTCTTGGCACGCATATGCCAGAAGTTATCGCATTTACGCATCTTGGCACCCTTGCATACGGCAATTACGCAATCTTGGCACGCATATGCTGGAAGCAGGTACATCTGTCCTTAAATGCTCAGTAACTTTCGCATGTAACTATTGCATTTACCTGGTTTATTCGATTGCTGGAATTTTCTTTGTTATGCTAGGGACATTTAGTTGTCATATCCTAGCTTGACATACTTAGATGCGGCCAAACATTCCAATACATTTTAATTTCTAGTCATAAACTTGTTTCGAGTCTCGACTTTGTTCCTTATAATGGTATTTTATGTTTATTATTATTTTTGATTACATTAAATAAGTGGTGCATGCTATGCTGGCAACAAGCTCTGAAATAAGCTTGAAATAATTAAATTGATATGTAAAGTTATGAATTTGTTTATATTGTTTATTCCAATCCATAAATAACTAGTACTGACCATTTTCACAAAATTTCAACTGAAGTTATTAAATTTGTCATGGTAATTTCTGCTTACTTCTAATCATATTGTATCTTACTGTATGTGATCTGCTGTGAATTTTAAAATGCATTTGAAACTGTCTAAAGTGGTCACCTGTATAAAGTAGTCATCTGTACTTGAAAGTCTCTTTTGATGTCTACATTGACTGTTTGATTATAGCTTGATTTTTGGTATGTTTTCAGCAAATGGACAGGATTGTCCTTGACCTAGAGGTGCTTGCCATTGGCAACAGGTATTATAGAGACATGCTTGGTCGGCACAGTCAGAGGGTAGAAGACAATAATAAGAGTATATCCTGTCCTTGACCTAGAGGTGCTTGCCACTGGCAATAGGTATTATAGAGACATGCTTGGTTGGCACGGTCAGAGGGTAGAAGACAATAATAAGAGTAAACGACACGCTGCCTACAGAAACTTTACCTTGTGGAGGCATGGAAGGCTTAGGGCAGGAATTAGACGGGTTACCCCGAGTTGTTGCATTTGGCACAGACATTTAGTGCATTTTTTAAGTAAAAACACACCATATCAAACTTCTTGGCTCTGTATTTTGTAGCTTCAGGCAAAAAGATTTGAATATGTGTTTTCTTATATAATTTTCTGAAGAAAAAAAACAACAAAAAACAACTCCCATTGTTATATACTGCATAACATTGTGTTTCTGGAATAGTATTGCTTGGTGGGGAATTCGAGGATTGGGATGGGAAGATTTTATTCATTGTGTTCAACTACCTGTGCTTTTTCGAACACCGCCAAAGGTAGTATTTTTTCATTTAGGGGGCAATGATCTAACAAAACATTCATTACGCTTCATTTTTAAAATGGTACAGGAAAGCATTCAATATATAACATCCGCTTTTCCCCTGACTCTGAATTCGTCTGGGTTGATATTTTGCAGCGAATTAATTGGAGTGTTGGCAATGACGAAAAACGTCTAATAGAAAAGAAAAGGAAACGTGTAAATCAATTTGGGTGCAAAATAATTAGGCTCAAGCAACCATCATTGTGTGCGATTCGATATTGATGAAAGTACACCAGGTTTCTTTAGGAGCAATGGGGTTCATCTATCTGGTGTAGGCCTGGATATGTATATTGATACAATACAGGAAACTTTATTACAAATATTGTAATAAGAATTTTGGGGAAATAAATAATAATTTATTCTGTGGCGGAAAATTCTTTTTCTTAGGTGCGACCAGGAGTCCCTTGCTACAATTTGCGAGTGTCTTTTTTTATACAGGGAGATAAAAAATTCACATTGCATACCTATGGTCGTGGAATATTCCATAGTGGTTGTCTGTGGGTAGACTGCGATTTGTAGGATTCAAAATTACTTATTTGGGTTAAATGGGCCTTCAAGAACTGGCCAGATAGCTATGACTAGGCGTTCTTTGATGAGCTCTAATTTTGTTAGGCCTATCTAATGTTAAGCACTCTATAACTATGTTGCACTGGTGGTTATATCAGGTACGGCGGAGTTCCTTGGCTACTGGTTATATTAGGTATGGCGGAGTTCCTTGGCTACTGGATATATTAGGTACGGCAGAGTACCTTGGCTGCTGGTTATATTGGTACGGCGGAGTACCTTGGCTGCTGGTTATATTAGGTATGGCGGAGTACCTTGTTTGCTGGTTATATTAGGTACGGCGGTGTACCTTCATAGCATATTATATGTATCGCGAGGGGGCGGCTATCATTACAAAATAATAGTGCAACAGGGGTAGGGATCTATTCGGGCGTACGGCATATCGCTCCTGGTCGCACCTTTTATCTCCTATAGTGGTAGTCTGTAGGTAGATCAATTTAATCTTCATTAGTGGTTGTCTGATGAAGATTCATCGCGCTGTCATGAGCGATTCCGCAATTTTTCACAAACCAATTGAAAATACTTAATAATATGTTTTTATTGATGAAATGTCTGATGACGTGCCTCGTACCATAAATAGAATATAAACAGTTTGTTGTTGTTTGTTTGTTTACTATAAACTGAGTCCTAGAATAATAAGAGTAAACGACACGCTGCCTACAGAAACTTTACATTGTGGAGGCATGGAAGGCTTGGGGCAGGAATTTGACGGGTTATCCCGAGTTGTTGCATTTGGCACAGACATTTAGTGCATTTTTTAAGTAAAAACACACCATATCAAACTTCTTGGCTCTGTATTTTATAGCTTCAGGCAAAAAGATTTGAATATGTGTTTTCTTATATAATTTTCTGAAGAAAAAAAACAACAACAAAAAACAACTCCCATTGTTATATACTGCATAACATTGTGTTTCTGGAATGGAGATTTTTCTTAAGTATTATTTTTAATGTGTATTTACAGCTCCTGTGACTGAATCATTTACAATGTATATTACTTATAAAATGTTTGAAAATAACTCACATAAGAATCATTTCTCTGAAATTTAATCTTAATCTACTAAAAGAAATGGTTGGTAGTGTTTTTAGTTTTTTATTTCTTAGAAAAACCGTGGCTAACACAGGAAGACACAAAACAGAAGACCAACATCAGGCAATCACAAGAGCTCACCTCAGAACACTTAGTGCTCAGGTGAGCTGAAAAAAAAAAGCACTTACATAAGGTGATGCACTTGGGTACAGAAGACAATTTATATGTTCCATGCCTTCTGTTTTACCTTGTGTATTGTTATACAATAGCTTTAGGCAACATTTTTGACGTAGTTGCATTCTTGCATTTAAGTTACCATTACATATCATAATCCTTTAGACATGTGTTATAACTACATAATTATATTCATTTCCTACAATGTGATCCTGACATTGAATTAAAGCAATTCTAGTCAACACACTGCTTACAAAACTAAATAGACTGGCTGACTGTATGTTTTAAAGAGGTGCATGCCTCCAGATGAGCTAACATACTACAAGAAAATCAAAAATTAGAAAACTGTTCTAAGATGTAAAGAAAAAGAATTCAAGTAATAATTTACATGTTATGTGCTATTAGTAACTGATTTTGCAGTATTTATCACCTTATTTCTACTGTGTGTGACTAACACAGTAAGTGTTATTTTTGCATATTTTGACCTATTTTTTGGTAATTTACATGGATTGTAACTACTGTTTGCAATGTTAAAATCCTTCTTTTATCACCTCACAATATTTTACATTTTAAATACATTTTTGATACTTTCATGAAAATTATTATAAATCTGGAGGCATGCTGCTTTAAAACAATCTGGATTTAGACAAGTTATAGCCCAATGAAAAACTGTAAAAGAAATACTTGTATAATATTTCTTCATAAAACAGTAATGAAAGCTCTATGGTGGATAATAATTCTACTTGGTTAGGTTGTCGTCTCTTTAGTTCCATCACACCTGTCACTATCACAATCTGTTTTTAAGTCACATGACTGAATGTCCTTTGTTACATCACTTCCTGTTTTAATGATGTCACTTCCTGCCTCTTCAGAATTATCATTTGATGAATTTTTATCCTCTGAGCCCTTTGCCTCTGAATTATTCATCCGTTCCAAAAGTGCTGGATGAGTAGTGAAAAGAATTTTATGTCCTGAAATATAATACATGTATGTACATAATGAAAATGTACAAAAACTATTTGGGAGGTACAAAATAATAATACAAAATTAATCTTTTCAATGACCTGTATTCAAATCAATTCTTACAGACTTTTGAAAACATACTCTACTTGGAACAAAACTGTTTTTATAAATCAGGTTGAAAACAGGTAAAGGAAGAAGCTTTCACAAGCTATACACATATGCCCCAGATAAAAGACAGTTGAAAATGAGTTTACCTTTACCTGGACAATCTAACACCTCTTTTGATGTTCTCTTTCTACAGCATCCCTTACACAAATTAAAATTGCACTTCTGACCCTTGAAAATAAAACATTATGATTATAGTTAGCTATTTTCACAAGTATATGCCAGGAGCTATATCTTTTTTATGTATTGCCAGTGCTTTAAACTTTTAAATTACTAAAGAAACATGGTCAAATATTAGTTACTGCCTTGTATATCAAACACAGTTCAGTGTTGTAATGCCTAGGCACTAAATAATAAGAATAAGAAGTAAGTTCGCTTGCTTCTTTTGTTGGTTTTAGCACCAGTTTTTATAGTGCTTTAAGTTTACAGTCAGGTAGAAAGTCTAACAAGTGTTTGTGTATTCAGTGTCAGTACTGACCTGTATTCTTTACAAATAACAGCAAACATCCATATATCAAACATTTGAAACAGCAGTGACGGGACAATATTTCACACAGCAGTGAAAGGCCAATGGCATAAATTTATTAGTTAACCAAATCTACATTGGAAAGCACATGGTGCACAAAGATCTCAACTTCAAGAATCTGAGATCTGTAAACCTTAAATTCTATCCCAACTGTGTTTAGTAAAACTAAATTATAAACTATCAATTATTACAATGACTATACAAGCTTTACAAAATACTTGTTCTTACTATGAAAACAACAAGAGCTGTCGGTAGGACAGCACGCTCGACTATTCTAAGTGCTTGATAGTAAAAGAGCCTTGATAATGTTAAATTTTTTAAGTTCACAAAAGGGCTAATTTTTTTTATAAATCATGTTATAGGCCTTTTAGAGAGAGTCTAATTATACAGAATTGGCTTGACTATTCGGAAGGTAATGTCACGAGGGTGTTTTATTGAGTATAACAGGGATCATTCTAGGGGGCGATTTCCGCGATTTCTCGCAAAAAAATCACCAAAATCTCAGAGAAATTTGTGAAATGAGAGAAAATCTCGCACGGAAATTTGAGCCAGAAAATGTCTAATCACAAGCTAAAGAATGCTTAAATTACACAAAAATATGATGAAAAATTCACGATTCCCATCAAGAATTTAATTTCAAATTGTTTATTAATGAAATCGGTGTAAAAAAACTCCAAAAAGTAGTCCAACACTTTGTATTATTTAGCTTAAAATAATTGCCGATCGGAGAACGCAGATTCACCATACAGAAATACGGTATGATGGCTACAGTAACCTTTATGTATCTGTAAGTCGAGAATTTACACAAAACACTTTTAATTGATTTTAATAAAAATTGTTAGACACAGACTAACATAAAAATGGACATAATATTATCCAAAACAAATAGGCATACCGGTAAAATTTGTCTTCTAAATGTCACATCAACCACGGTAAATTTTGCCGTAAAGAACAAATTAAAAAAATTTTGTTTTACGATTCCTGATGAAATAGCCGATAATAAACATTCTTTTATTGAACACAAATATTTAATTTGATATAATTGCAATCAGCAACAGCTAGAATTGTGAATGTTTCAGCGGAAAACAGACAAATATTCATTTGTCACATATTTTCGCGATGTCGTGATTAAAAAAAAAATACTAAAAGGAAGCTGAGTGTTATTTAAAGGTGTTTTTTAACACTAAAAATGATGTTTGTGAATAAAAATTACTTTAGGTATTGTTTATATTTGTGGATATGGAGATATTTGTCATTATGTGTTCAGGTCACAGTCACATATTCAATGAATATTTTTTAATGGAGGGAGGTGTGTGAAGAGAATCATAAAGAAAACAAAATGTAAGGTTATAAAAAATATTCTTCAAATCTCAAGAATCACTTCTGTACAGTACAGTGTTGTCCATTAGGAACATTGGCTGCAAATAATAGTTGTAGTCGATATCCATGTATAATTCTTTTATATTTCAGAATAAAGGTGTTATATTTATTTTTCACAATTTTTAATTTTATTATGTTTAAAAATTCACAAAAGAAAAGGCATAGGATGTGTTAAAAAAGTGAAAACAAAAATCACTGTAATAAACAGAGCTACATCTTCTTATATCCTCATTTAGATAAACAATGTTTATATGTACAGTGATTTTAAAAAGTTAGAAATTTCCATATTTTTAAACTCGCCCATCATGAAAATTAAATCTCTCAAGAAAATTTCATTTCTCTCATTAAAAGTTCTCAAATGAGAGAAAATCTCTCACTAAAAATCCTGACCAGAATGATCCCTGGTATAATAATACTAATTACCTATGAATACATAAATTTGACAGAAAAGGTACAAAGACTTGTTATTAAGATGTTTTATCAAGTAAATAACTGCTTTATTATTATGAATGCATAAAATTGTCCCAAAAAAGGCACAAACCCTTCAGTAGTTATTGAGATAACAGCTTACAAGCAAAGCTTTACCATGAATTTCTAAGTTGAAAAAGGGGAGAAAAATCAGCCAAAATGCAAGATAGAATTATGGATCTTTGTCAGTGACCTACAATTATGACCCTTAATGCATATGTTAAGTTTTAAATAAATATCTTTAATAGTTATTGAGATATGTAAAACTTGCATGTAAACATTAACCAAGAGACTAAGTAGAAAAGGGGATATGAATCAGCCTTAATGCAAGATAGAGTTATGGAACTTGGTCAGTGACATACAATTATGACCCTCCAATTATGACCCTAAGTGCATGTGTAAAGTTTCAAGTAAATATATTTGAAGACCTTTAACCAAAATATCTAAGTTTCAAAGGGGCAAATAATTCTGCAAATATTGCAGGCAGAGTTATGCAATTTTGCAAACTGATGTACATTGTTACTATAAAAAAAGTATTTTAAATTTCAATTGAATATCTCAAGCAATAATTGAGATATTTGACTTTACAAAAAACTTTAACCAAAATTTCTAAGTTAAAAAGGGGCATAATTCTGTCAATATTGTAGGCAGAGTTATCCAACTTGTCAACCTGATGTAGCTTGTTACTATAAATAAGTATTGTAAGTTTCAAATGAATATCTCAAGTAATAATTGAGATATTTGACTTTACAAAAACCTTTAACCAAAATTTCTAAGTTAAAAAGGGGCATAATTCTGTCAATATTGTAGGCAGAGTTATCCCACTTGTCAATCTGATGTACCTTGTTACTATAAATAAGTATTGTAAGTTTCAATTGAATATCTCAAGTAATAATTGAGATATTTGACTTTACAAAAAACTTTAACCAACGCAGACGCGGACGCCGACGCCGGGGCGACTACAATAGCTCTCATATTCTTCGAATAGTCGAGCTAATAACACACCATAATATCAGTCAACAAAACTTCTGCCAATATAGCAAAATAGTTATGAACTATGGAAATAAGAAATCAACATGAAAAAGAAGGATTGTGTGACAGGAACAACTTTAGTTTCAATGTATTTAAAAAAGCACAATTTTTAAATTGTTTGCATAATCAAAAGGTAAAATTTCCACCGAAGCTGTATAGTTCATTTGTTACATTGTTTTACTTCTACATAAACATGAACTTACTCTTGGATTATTGCATAATGTGTCCTCACAGATGTCAAATTTCACTTTTTTCTTTGCATCAAAATTTTTATTTGGATTGCGTAAACGCTTCTTCACTTTTTTCTTTGACATGCCCTTCAACTCGACAAGCTCTTCTATTGTTGCTGGACGTGTTAGTAATTCACGTTTCTGGCGATTTCTTTCTTCCTCCTCTGGGCTGGAAATATTTAAATTATTTAAATAAAAATATAATAGGGTGATTATTAAAGTATTTTGACCTGTAACTACTATCTGACTGGATTTGATTTTTAAAGGCTTTGATCTGTCTTTGATTCTAGTTAAATCCAGAATGCAAAATACAAGTACTAGATTATGATACTTTCACAATAATTCCTTTTATTACAGACTTCTTCATATTCAAACTATAATCATAATGTAATGCAATTAAAGCAATTAAAACATCATTCTAGATTGCGAGAAAAATAAGACATACATTACTAAATGTGATATATGCTTCCCATACTTGTGACCTTGACCCAAGTGACCTCTAACTCAAGCCAAATTCAGAGGACCACATAAGGTATGCACCTACTTTATATATAACACATTGGTCAATGAATAAAAGCTGTATAAGAACAATAGTGTATAACTTATATTTAAGCATTGGTGACCTTCACTTTGAGCCCAGTGACCCCAAACTCCACTTAAAGTTAGACAACAATCTAAGGTATCTACCTTCCAAAAATGGAAGATATCTGTCATTTAATAAAGTTGCTAGCTGAAACTGAGAAAAGTATGACAGAACTACAGACCAATGTAGAAGTGACTTATAAAACACACAAATATAATAAGTATTACTCCCTGACATTTTGTCGGTGGTTCTACTCAGGTGCCTGTTCATGCCTGAAATAATGCACGGAGGGGCACCTGAGGGCTTCCTCCACCAGTAAAGCTGGAATGTCGCAATATGACCTATACTGTATCGATGTGATGTAAAACCCAATCAAACAAAACTCCCTGACATTTAAACTGAACATTACCTTGGTCTTTGGTATGGCTGACAATACCAGTATGGTAGAGGTAGTTCTCCAAACAGACCAGCACGAGGATTGAAATCTGTGTCCTTCATCTCAATCTATCATATAATAAATTTATAAGATTAATCCTTAATTTCATGTTTTGTGAAACCAAGATAAATGTTATGAACATACACAAAAATCACTTCATGTATATATTTAAGATGCATCAATATTCATGATAATTTGTTGGAAATTCAAATGTTTCAAAATAAGGCATTTATAAAATTGTCAAGCATACATAAGTAATTAAATGTTTTTCTAAAATAAACCACTCACATAAAAATAAACCATTCACATAAATAACTTGAAATATGTAAATATATGCAAAAATAGCCCTTCACAATGCTAGCTATGGTAAAAACCAGGAATAAAAATATGGTGATAAACACTTAGTGTATTATTCTCAATTTTTTTTTCCATCTAAATGCATGCACTTTAAGTAATTTAATATTATAGTGGGAGCAATGGGCTCACACTTCGAACTTTTAACATGCTTCACAATGATGAATTGATGTCCTATGTACAGCACATATTTTCAAGTAATGATAAGTGAAGAACAAAAATTACTAATAATCAAACAGTTGGTTCAAATCACTGACGCTGCAGAGTCAAAATTTACAAGTAAAAATACCCAGTTAAAGCCTGTTCATAATCTTGATATACTAATTCTTATACTTGCAAAAGTCCGATTCAGAATTGTCTTCAAACAAAAAAGAAGAACCTACCAGACATCTCTGCTTTAAAACTTCCACAGCTTTTCGAAGACATTCTGGTGACCTGGCCACCCCAACCATGTCCCTTACATCTGGGTGCAAATGCAATCTTAAATAAACAAAAATTTATACTGAATACTGTAAGACAAGTTTATATACAATTATACTTTATGAATGTTACAATAATTTAAAGAAAATGCAAATTATATAGAAAACCGTCATATTAACAAAGCCCCAAGCAGTAACTAGCCTAATTTTACTGGTCCGAATGAATCTGTAATTTAGTTATGTGCAAAAACATTTCAAGCATATAAGAACCTATGTAAGATTTATTCAATTTCTTTAATTTACTCTATATTCAACAGTGCATATACATCAATTCAATGTTGATCATGTTAAGGGTCATAACTCAGAGGTTATTGGTCTAACATAAAATTTAAAACATACTAGCTTAATATTTCATCCTATTAAAGGATGGGTAATGGTTAATAAAACATTTCTTATCTGCAAACAAATACTATCATGATGGCCTGACAATCTGCACATACTTAATCATGAAAATAACCAGATAACAGAAAAATTTATCTTATTTCCTTACCCATGATGCAATATTTTAAACACATGACCTCTGATATATGACAAAGGACAAGGATACTTTTCAGCTAGATCTAGATATTCCTCACACATCTGCCATATAGGTGGATTAATACCTGCAAACAGTGCTGGGTTATGTAGATTACCCTCTGAAAAAAGGAGTGAAGTTTTACAACACATTATTAAAATTATTGTTGCTTTAAAATCGATGAACCTTATAAAAGCTGGTGGATGTTGTGACAGGGTATACATTCCGACAGCATGTCAGCTACCTATAAATCCATGACATTAATCTCTTTATCATGCTGAACTACTTAAATGGACTTATTTTTTCCAACATCAATATAGGGGATATCAAGATGAAAATTTAACATGAAGTCATAAATTAAATGCTGATAACTAATTAGAATGCAACATATTGTCTAAGCTTGCACATGCTAATTACCTGCAGTCATAACACCGTCCACGCCAGTTTCTTCAATACATCTCTTCACATCAGACAGGTATTCTATATTGCCATTAGAAAATACTGGAATATTGACAGCTTTCCTAGTAAAATAAAAAAACAACAAGTCTAATGGAGACTTAGATAAATGATTTAATTATTTTGCATACAGGTAAAAATTTCTTCCTGGAGGAGTCTTCATCTGAACTGACCAGGTCTGTTGTTTTTTTGTTGTTATTGTAATTGTTTTGTTTTTTCTTTTTTAAAAGGGGGGGGGGGGGGGGGGATTTGGGGCTTGGGTTTTACATCACACCATTACAGTAAAGGTCATAATGGCAATTTTCCAGCTGTACAGGTGGAGGAAGACCTGATGGTGCCCCTCCATGCACTCCTGAGTTCTGACCAGTACTGGTGTCATACAAGGAAATGTCATGACCTCATTCAGACTCAATGAAATATTTTGTAGGTAACAGAACTGTAACTGAAATGCCATGTATTAGAGAGGACTAGAGCATATCAATCTTGAAACCATGAACCCTACATGTAATTAAGAGGCTGACAAGTCAAAACACTAGAAAAACACTCTCTTGACACTGCATTTGTTACATATAAAATTAAAATCAAAATGTGTAATTATTAAGATGCTATTTTAATTCATATAAACATTATCGGCAACAGCTTGCATTATTTTTGCTTCAAAATAAAACTGGTATCCCAACAACACTTAGATTGTAGTGTAAACAGGATACATAATAGCATGTTAGAACAAGATTGCATTTGAGAAAAATGCTATGCCACCGCATTAATACCTAAGCTCTAGGCCTTTGGGCATTTACAAGAAGGTATTTTAAAGTTTTTAACCCTTTGTCCTTGTACCTACAGAAATAAGATTTTTTTTTTTTTTTTCTTATGTATAATTAAAAACAAGACCCCGGGGGGGGGGCAATTTTGCCCCAGTCTAAAAATTTGAGAAATTTTTGCAGGGGTTCCAAACAATTTTTCATGAAAAAATACAAACCCTCTAGCATTTGTCAATTGCTAGAAAAAATTTTTTAAAATTATTTCTATATACATAAACGAAAAAAAATGACCCCCGGGGGAGGGCCATTTTGCCCCGGGGTATAAATTTTTAAAAATCTGGGGAGAGTCTACAAACAATGCCTTATGCTCAGGCCTTTTTTGGGGGCTTTTCAAGTAGGTATTTAAAGTTTTTCAATGTAAAAATAGGGAAAAACAGTGTCCCCGGGGGGGGGGGCCCCATTTTTTTACCCCCAAGGGGTATAATTTGAAAATCTTGGTAGGGTCTACCAGGCAATGCCTTATGCAAAATATCAAGCTCAGGCTATTTGGGTCTTTACAAAAGGGATTTAAGTTTAATATGTAATAAGTGAAAATCAAACCCGGGCAGGGCCGATTTTTACCCCGGGGCTAAATTTGAACAATCTTGGTGGGGCTACCAACAATCCTTATGAAAATACAAGTCACCTTTTTGGGGTTTTTACAAAGATTTTTAAATTTATTCTTTTTTAATTTCCTTTTTGGGCCATGGCAACCAAATTTCTGCACATTTTTCACAAGAAGATTTTTTAAATTGACCTATTGGTTTTTCACAAGAAAAGAATTTGTTTACGGTTCACTATTAATCTATATAACAATGACCCGGGCGGGTGCAGATTTTGAACTCCCAGGTGCTATAATTTTGAACAATGTTGGTAGAGGTCTACCAGACAATGTCCTTATGCAAAATATCTAAGCCTTAGGCCTTTTTTGGGGTTTTTACAAGAAGGTTTTTTAAGTTTTTACTAATAATGAACTAGTGAAAATCAATTGGACCCCCGGGCAGGGCCAATTGAACCCCAGGGCACAGATCCTTGGTTAGAGGTCTACCGACAATGCCTTATGCAAAATATCTAAGCTAGGCCTTTTGGGTCTTTACAAGATGAATTTTTTAAAAAATTTGTTCTTAATAATTCCTTTTAGTTGCCATGGGCAACCAGATTTCTGCATGGAATGAAATTCTTTTTGAACAACTTTGGAAGCTTCACCCAAGGAAGCAATAAAGTTGGTTTGAAATTGGACTGTGGTTTTTCACAAGAAGATTTTTAAAAGGTTTCACTATATAATCTATATAACACACACACAAACACACACACAAACACACACACACACACACACACAGGTGAATCGCTATATGCCACCGCATCGCAGATGCTGCGGTGGCATAAAAATATAAATGAGCCTTGTCATGACAAAACGAACATAGTGCGTTTGCGACCAGCTGTTCGCTTACAAACCCTATTACAAGTACAGAAACTGTCAGCGAACAGCATGGATCCTGATCAGACTGCAGGGTGTAGGCTTGTCGGGACCATCTGGGCAAATTCACTATTTTTTTTTGTCATTCGGGGCCAAATCAAAACAACAGATACTTTATGTTTTAACATTTTCCCATTCAATGCATTTAAAACGCCTTCATCCCTTTCTCCCAAAAACATTTAAAAAACAAAAATTGTAGTAAAAATCAATTCTAAATTTTTTTTCGGGGGCTAGCTTTTTTTTAATTCCCCCAAAATTCGGGGGAAAGGAGGGGGACCGCCTCCCCTTTGGAAACGTTTTCTTTTGGTCTGGGGTACATTTGGGCAATTTTTAAAATTTTTTTTTAATTTCCCTTGGAAATTGCATAACAAAACAATAACATTTAAAATTTTCCCCAAAATTTTTTAAATTCTTTGATATTTTTCATGAATTTATCTTTTTTAATTTCCTTAAAAACTTACAATTTTTAAAAACATATGTTTTTATGTTATAACTGAGGACTTCAAATAAAGTACCTCTCAACCCTAAAGGTATAAAATCATTTCAGTTGTTCCGCTCTAAATTCTTTCACATCAGAAAGCTATCTTCTAAATTCTTTCACATCAGAAAGCTATCTATTTATATTACAGAAAGTTGATGTTTCTGCTAATGTGTCAGTCTTGACCCTAAATCTTGCAAATAGGAGCACATAGGATCCGCCATACCAAGCTGCTAAACCATTTACAAATAACGGCTGTCATTGATCGATATAGAAAGCCAAATACAATGATATATCAGATTACATATAGCAAGTACAGTGGAAACTATATGAATTTGTTTTTAAACTGTCAACATGGTTCTAAGCTTGCTTACATGTATATAAGACATTAAAGCACAGCAAACTAGAAAAATTGTTTTATTGAACGTTGACAAGATTTCTTCTGAGACAAAAAGAGAAAATTTGCAAAAAAAAGGGGAAAAAATTTTATAATATAATGTATCATATCAAAATTTTGTGTTTTGATATTGTATCCATGATGAATATATATGCAAATTTTCAATGACAGCCTACAGAAATAATTAAAAAACAAAAATAAAAAAATCCTTTCCCCAAATTTTTTAAATGAATTTCTATCCCTACACCCCAGTTTTTCTGCTTTTTTAGAATTTTTGCACGTCTTCTCTATTCAAATACCTGATCTTACTGTAGGGTACCTTAGATTAGCAACAACTTGCAAAGAAAAAAAACACATTAAAAATTCCTTGGTTTTTTTTTCCCTGAATACCCCATTAAAAACCATAACTGTTGGTTTTAAAATATTTTTTTTAAGCTAAATTTGCGAAACAATTCTTGGGAATTTATAAAACCTTTTCAAGTCTCTTCCGGGAACCAAAACCAGAACTGGTGTATACGAAAAAATAGGTTTTGACCCCAGAGGGGTCGAACCCGATCTCTGGTTTTTAGGGAAACCTTAACACTGGGCCCCGCTCCCCTTGTATACTGTCAATTTTTCCCCCAAATACCACTTCTTAAACAGGGAAACAAGATAGTGATTTTGGTCTTAAAGATTTTTTTATAAACAACAACTGGGAAAAATATCTAAGCGAGTTCAAAAATAAACTTTTTACAAGTTTGGTCCCATATATTAGTTTAAATAAAAATTTTATAAACTAACTTTTAAAATTTTGACAAAAAAAATGTATGTACATCAAAACCCAAGTCATCAAGAAAATGGGTTATTATGTTGACAAAGCATCGAATACAGCTGTCACCTTCATTCAACTCACTGTCAATCCTTACTGATTGATTTAAATACGATTAATTACTTGACAAAAATTTGTCATAACATTTTTACCATCATTGTATCATAGTTTGGAGACTTTACTACAGAAAACGTGTCAGAGTTAAATCATATACCAATGCACAGTGTGTTATCTGAAGTGCAGGTATTTGTTACCTGCACTCACTGTCTGTCTAGAGCATACTCATCGATTGACTCATTTCCTCTGGAGTTTACTTATTAGTTTATACAAATTTGTTTTAGTTTGATTGTGTTGGAAGCTATAAGCTTTTTGAAACACTCTCAAATCCGTTCCTGGAACCAACCAGTACTAAGCAATGAATGTAAAGTTTCTTGCTCAAGGAAACAACGGCTTGCCCCTGTCAGGGTTTGAACCCACACGGTCAGCAATCCTTAGATTACTAGTCCGACGAAAAAAACCACTAAGCCACTTTTTACTTATGTTACTTATGTGACTACAAAAAAGAATAACCAAAAGTTCATATTCAGATCTTGACAATGTTTTACTTTTTTCTGGGGGTTTAATAATGGATGACAAAGGGGAAAAAGTTTTTTTTTTTTGCTTTAAACAAAGAAAAGAAAAATGAAATTGACCCTTTTACTTTCTATACTTTAACAAAAGAATTGGTCTATTAATGAATTGGAAAGAAATTAATAACAAAACCCTTTTTTTAAATTTTTCCCCCTCCACTTTAAAGGGAAACCCCCATAATCCCCCCTTCAATCAAATTTGGGAAAAACCCAGGTTTTAATCTATGGGATCAAGTGGTCCCCCGCTAGTTTGGCCGCTGATAAAACAATGTCTGGATCATTTCCACAAAACTGAAATGATTGAAACTTTCATTAGAAAGACAGTTGCGGTATTTGTTTGATATTATTACCAAAGTCATTCAGTCATTTATGGCTATCTTAGTTTTAAAATTTTAACAATCTTGCTTGTGAAACAAATTACTGCAACTTATATTAATCACTTCTCGAGTATCTGGCGTTGTATTTAAATGAAACAACATTTGAAATATTTTCTACCACATTTTCCCCCATTTTATTGGTGCTTGAAAATTTCATACGGTACTAGGGACATCATTTAATAGAAAGATTCTGGTAGCACTGTCTGAATATTAAATATTTAACTGTATAAACAAGCTGTAATAATATTGAACTAAATGTATATAAACAAGCTATTACAGTTATGATTTCACATGTACAGTACCTTAATTAACAAGCAATTATCATAGTATTGCAAGCAATCCATAAGTCCCCTACCGGTAAGAGCCCAAGCAACATTCTGAAGGGCCATTGGCCATTCACTTAGGTTCCTATTTTAAGTAAATTTGTTGAAAAAGTTCTTTAAAAGTGATCACAGGAAACAGTTTTTATGTACAGACAGACAGACTGAAGGACACTCTAAAGTTATTTTTTAAACATCCCTGTTATCAAAATATAACATTTTAAAAATCCTATCATGATTGAAGAAGTTGGAGTAAAAATTACCAATTTCTCAAAAAAAAGTCTAAGTTAAAAAGGGGCATAATTCTGGAAATAGTCTTGCTAGAGTATTGAACACTCACAAATGTTGAGTGACAATAAGAAACATTTATATGAAGTTTGAAAGTAGATACATTCAGAAAAAGAAGTTATTAAAAAAAACAATGTTTTTTTTCATGAAAATTTTAAGTTCAAGGGAGGTAATTCTGATAAATTTTGTGCTAGAGTTGTAAACCTTGTCACATATGATGTGGTTGATGACAAGCAACTTATATTTAAAGTTTGAAGAAATATACCTTAAGAAATAAAGAACTTATAGTGAAAAAACTTAAAAAACTAGAATCAGAAATCTTGAAATTCAGTCTATTTGTTGCCATAGCAACCAGAATTTTCAACATAGGAAGATAAAAAAAGGATGTCCATAATTTCCATACTGCCATCTACCCATATGTCAAGTTTCATAAACATATTTTCAGTACTTTTTGTGTTATCACTGGATCCAGGTTATGTGTAAAATTTGCCATATTTTCAGCCTATTTGTTGCCATAGCAACCAGAATTTTCAACATAGGAAGAAAAGAAAAAGACGTGCATAATCTCCATACTGCCATCTATCCATATATCCAAGTTTCATAAAAATATTTTCAGTACTTTTTGCGTTATCGCGGGATCCAGGTTATGTGTAAAATTTGCCATATTTTCAGTCTATTTGTTGCCATAGCAACCAGAATTTTCAACATAGGAAGAAAAGAAAAAGACGTGCATAATCTCCATACTGCCATCTATCCATATATCAAGTTTCATTAAAATATTTTCAGTACTTTTTGCGTTATCGCGGGATCCAGTTTTGTGGACGGACGGACTGACGGACGGACAGACGGACTGACGGACGGACGGACGGACAGACGGACAGACGGACGGAGGGTAAACCTAAAGTCCCCTCCGGTAAACCGGTAGGGGACTAATTAAATTGTATCCATTTGTGCAGGGTTAACACATACAGTAGACGAGTAATTTAAAAAAAATATATCTAATAATCGTAAACATTTTGTAACACTGTGGAGAAATTACATGTATCAAACTATTTACAAAATGAAAATAACAATATCTTTAAAAAAAAACTTGAAAAGGCAATAAGTCTAAATTTGGCAATTACAAAACAGGGTAGGTAGCAACACCTGAAATTGGTAGGTTTTTGACCTCAGTATTAAAATAAGTATTTAAAGCACCTGTATAATTAATGGTCTATCTTCTTTACAACTTTGCAGGGATTCTCGCCTATAATGAGCATCCCTGGCAAATACTGAGCTGTGAAACATCGGGGTGTAGCATAGCTGAGCAGCATATTTTCTACATAACATTCTCCAAGCCAGTTCACTTTGATCTACCATCGGTGCTACCACATACTGACAACTGTTTAATGTATTCCTCCAGAACTCAAAGCCACCTTCTTTCTGTACAGGTTGGTCAGCGTCGCCTATAAAATATTACCTTATAGTAAGTCACAAAAAAACAACATATAAAATTACTATATAAAATTATAAGTAAATGAACACCAATTTTGAATAAAATGAAAATATGTCAACCATGAGTTAAACTTTCATTTGGCAATTATTGTTTTTTCCAATATGTCAAATTCCAAATCGTAATGCAAGTAATGGTTTTGCAGAGTGCTCTCTCCTTTATTTTTTGTATGGAGTATTTTCATTGGTCTAAGGTTTTCACACGACCAATGAAAATACTCTATACAAATGCATCCATTTATACTTTCATTTTGGATTGAGATTCCACAAATCAGAAAAACTGTTCGTTATAGTTTCATATAATGTTTTGATTAAACAGACAAATAATAATATATTTTTATCATATTTATATGCACAATACAAAACAATAATGATTCATTTCGAATAAACTGCCATTTAGTCGGGTAATTTTGACAAAAACCCAGTGGTCAGGTCTCTGTCGACTTGCACTCGCGGTGTCTTCGAGATTACAAATTTTCTTATAACTTGAAATGATTGTTATGACACTTTATTTCCTTTATAAGAGTAATCAATTCCCTACCTTTTGGTACTAAGACTTTGAAAATTGGTGAAAAATTGTTGGAGTTACGGAGTTCATATTAAGATGAGTGCTGAAAAATGAGCGGCAAATTGCATACCTTTACTAAATATATAAGTATCAATTTTTTATTTTTTGTGGGAAATGAAGGTACCAAATAAAAAAACATGTTTAAAATGAAAAATACTGCAGTTTACATGGTTTTGAGAGGTAGGAGGGTTGTAGAGTGGGTGAGGGGAGGGGGGCAGTGACCAATCAACATGCCAAACACATATGGTTTATGCATCTACTTGATTTGATATTATTTTTTGAAAGCAAATACAATTCAAGCATTTAAACGAAAAATACAGGCACTGCAACTGTACGAGGACTGCTCGCATGCCAGTACATGCACAGGCGCTTGTCACATAATCAAATATTTTACATAATCGGTCTATATATGTATATAAAGATATAAGGCCCCAAACGAAACAAAAACATCATACGGAACAAACAAGAACACTGCTGCAATAAACGACCAGATCACGGTTATCTCTTTCTGGTCGCCATCTGAAAGGATCAATCCAAGTGCCAACGCTTTTTATTTCATTAAAATCCCTCAAATAGCAAAGAAATTGGGAAAAGTTTCGCAAAATGCCATTATTTTCAATTCATGTCGTTTTCGACGTCCAGTCCATTTATGTATACAAACACGATTTCTGATCGATTTTTACGAAAAAAAACAACAAAAAACTGCTAGAATTTCCACGTACGTTCCATAAACAAACTCTTTTCCTATCGATCTGCGAAGTCTTCACTGATCAAATGCCCTCTTCGTACATAATTCATTAAAAAATACCAGGGCTCGAGCTAGTGGGCGATTCGGGCGAAATAGTCGCCGAATTCCGTCTGACTTCGCCGACATCCTACATGAAAGCGAAGATGAAGTCGCCCGATTTTATTGATCCATTATTGAAAATTACCAACAATAACTGTAAATAACATGTTGTGTGTGTTTACTTTGTTTACCCTCGCCGCCGGAAAAAGGGACTGTCATGCATCTCAATCAACGCGAAATGTCATTAATCCGTTTGTTTACCAACATGTCATAAAAGTCTAATTAACAGACGCTCGAGGAACAATTAGACTCCGCCCACGGCGAGATTACCGATACGTGCGAGAAACCAATCGTAATTCACGTTTTAATCGAGGCGACATTATTAAACCAATCATTAAATCGCTAACATACAACTACCCGTAACAATTATTTATGATGGACGGATCAAACGTCAATTAAATTTTCACTATCGAATGATTGTCAGAATTAAGAGGACCGCTCGACATATAACTGTGACGGTAATTTTAAATGAAAGTTATGATAACCTTTTTTGTCGACGAGTTTAATTTGATAAAATTGACGGCGTATTACACTGTATTTATTACAAATGAAGTTAAATTAAAGATCGTTTCTTTCGTTATCTACTTTCATTTTCTTTACAACATAAGTGAATATGAATATAATGTCCGGCGCAAGCTTTTTAATAGTAAATCAGAAGGGAATAACTGTTAATCCACCCATGATATGATCCATGATAGGAATCAACTATGGCTTTTTTATCTTCACTTAATGCAATGGTTGCATTACATATAAATCTTATTACTTGTTTCAAACTACTTTAAAATTAAAATTGAATATTCTGTTCTAACACAGATCCAATTCATTTAATAAGATATGTACAGTGAGTCAACATAATTGCGATAACATACAACAAACATCAATAAATGAATCTCCTCACTTCTCTCTAAAGTCTCCCCACTTCTCCCTAAAGCAGCTGGAGGGAGAAGTGACTTCTCCCTAAATTTTGAACCTAGCTAGAGCCCTGAATACACAAGGATCTCGCTTGTGACAGTATTTTATCGCCATGTATAGCGCATGTATATACTGTTCCGCTCTGAATATTATATAAGGTTTTGATTGGTTAAGATAATTACCGGAATACTATTGACCAATCGTATAATACTATTTCTTTGCTTCATTTATCTGTCACTTCAAATTCCAAATGGCGCACTTTACTTGACCTCCGCTCTTACAACCAATATTTTTTAAATATTTGCGTACAAAGAGGGCTCTAGTTCAATTTAGACTTCGCAGATTGATAGAAAAAGAGTTTTTTATGAATTTTATGAGGAAATTTTAGATGTTTTCTATTTATCAGGCTGGGCACATCTCCCAATCGGGCTAAATTAGCTCAATCGGGGTAATTTAGCCAAAATTGGGGCAAAAAATCCAATAAATGAAAATAAAATAAAATGTGTGGGGAAATTTTAGGGACCCGTTTTAAAATCGATTTCTCCCCTGTCTCAAATGTACCCATTTTCTAAAAATTTAACCCTTTCTGATCCCATTAAATATGCTGTCCCTAGCTTGTTTCTTATTGCCCCCAATTTTGGGTGAAAAAAAATCCCGGAATTTAAAAATTTTGGATCACAAATAAAACCCAAAAATCTTTTTATATTAACTCCAAAACTGTACAAAATTCTTCGCCAATTCAACGCAGCTTCATCATCGACGCCATCTTGGAAAGACTGATTAAAATCCGTCATGCACGAAACACTTTTATCTATTGTTTTTCATTAATTAACCAAAATATATACAGGGTGTGTTAAAAATATTATATATGTGGAAACTGAAATAGAATAGTTCATATTTATTAACGGAAGTGTTAAAATGGTTTGCATAATCGATGCACTCTAGTGAATGTGATAACCATTGCTTTCAATAAACGTACTAAACTGGTCTTACGAGTATCTGAATGTAAATTGTAAACTTATGTTATATCATATATTATATTGTACATGAAAATAATAAAAAATTCGTGAAAAGCGTGTTTTTCTTTATAATTACCCTGTGTCTTTCCATGTATACACTTGAAAGTCCCTCGTAGAGGATATAGGTATGTATTTCCCTCTGTCTGTCTGTCTCTTTATCTATGTATGTATATACATCCCATTTATATGAAGTAGTAGAAGTATTTGAAGCTGGTAAAGGATATATTCCTCCCATATTATACTTACAGTATCTGAAGTAAGTTAAGCTTATTTTATTTTCATCAACAAAACATTGTTAAATTGAGTCATGAGATGTGTCACAATAAGCTAGTAACACATATTCCATTTTCGATAACTATTGCGTATTGTAACTTATGTTCTTGTTGCATTTCTTTACATGAAAATACTTTATTTTGTTATTTAATTAATCTCCAGTCATAGTTTCTTATTTCATAAAACCCTTATGGGCATGCAAATGAATTATTGAAAATGATAGATTATCTAAGAAAGCATTAATTGAATACTTGAAATGTGAAAAACAATATCAACAAGGAAAATGCGGTGTTAAATGAACCCCACTCGACCTAGAAACAAGTTATCAGAAAAACTATTAAATCAAATTAATTAAATAAACAAATAAAACATTTCTTAAGAGACGATTTATCAGAGAAAAACTATATAAGATATATTATATCTTTCGTTCTAATCCATTTCATCATTTTCTATATTAAATGATCGTATATTATATAATGTGTATGATTATGAATAAAATATGTTTTATGTAGAGCCGATTTCAGTTTAAAAGAAAGATCATTAATCGAAATTGCAAATTCAATATCTTATTATAATAAAGGTTAAACATACTCTTATTTCAAATAGTTTTATTACAGAGGAAAACACCATGTCAAAAGTTTTTTTTGAACAACATTCTTCTTTGACTGAAGGAAAGTCGTTGAAAATAATAAAAAATTGTGCATTAGAAAATAAAAGTGGGAAAACAATAAAATTTATGAAAAACCATTGCATTATCCAGAAAAGGCAGCAGCTGTGTGTGATGTTTGTTTGAATTATGTAACAGGATACCTTAATGATAGAACCAAGTCATAAAAAATTAAAGGCAGAAAATGATTGTAAAACATTTTTAGAAAATTGAAAAATGATAAATTTGAAGAAAATGAATTAGTAGAAATTGTTGCAGCCATTGGTGAAAAAATTTCTTCAAATATATATGAAGATTCAATGGTTGTTTCGTCATGGTACAAGAGTATAAATTTTGATGATGATGTAAAAGTAAAAAAAATATATAAAAAAACAGAAATCGTATACTCACATAGAATCTTTCCTATTACCTGTTGCAAATATAAAATCTGTAGACGAAATGAGAAAAAAATTAAAAGTATTACTAGCAACATTGACTGTTTATTGAAAGCCAGGAATCTTCCAACTATAACACCAATAATACCATTTTATAAAAATCGTATTAGCTATTATATCACTGGCAGCAAAATTATAACTAAATTGAATAGCGTACATTCCCCAGCAGGTAGCTATTCATGTCTAACTGAATGGCTGAAGAATGTCTCCGACAAGTCCCTCAGTTACTCCGAGTCCACTGACACGTTTACTTATTTTGACAATAACCAAGTTGTGGCCAGAAATTGGCGGGTTAATCATAATTATAAATCAAAGGCAAGTGTTGTTACCACGGTTGTTAATATTATACCAGCAAAGAAAACAAATCTTCAAAAACAACAAGAAAAATTTCACCGTCAAAATGGTATTACAACTGTAATTAATGTTGACACATTTTCAAAAATCAAATCAATGTTGCATGACAATGAATCGGTCTTCCAAAATGTAAGGAATAAATTTATTGAAAAACGACTGGCCAAAGTTGTCAACGACATGGGAGCACCACAACACTAGTATGACACGTGATTACATTGATGAAAAAATTTGAAGGTAATTTCTGACATAATTTGTATTCATTATCCCAAAATATTGTAAAAAATATATATATTTTAAACACATTATTTAGATTATATTAGATTTTGTTTCGTTGCATAAGTAATAATAAAGCAAATAAATCTAATTACACGCACAAAATTACATCATGAACGCATTTTGATTTCGTCATGAATTCAGACAAACACAATGTCTATTTAAATGTCATGATGCAATAGTTAATTTGTCTTTAATTTCTCAAATTCAATTACAATTATATTTATATTCAGCTGGAGTTAATCCAGTCGTTGAACAGGATATGTTTAATCATTATAATTGGATTCCAAGCATGCACCATAAAAGAGTCCCCGAAAGTTGTTGTAGGAGAGCCTATAATGGTCAATCCATGCTCTTATGCTTCTGTGACAAAAAGTTCTACAGGTACACATTCTCTTAAAATAAGTGTAAAAAAATTAATATATAACATGTGAAAAACGATTATTATAAGAATCATTTGAAACAACACACAAGTTATTAACAATTACTGGAAACTAAAATTATTCAATTATTATTGATGCTTTACAAACGAATATATCATTTCAGAATCTTCAGAAAGTTCAGAGAATGAATACGAATAATCATCAATATACACGTGTTCATATGTACTTACCGACATCTCTAGTCTTCACTGCATACGAACTCAATATGACCTCAAACCGAAAAACTCGTGCAAAGTCATGTGGTATATTTTATAAATATATATATAGATATTATTATTTTTAATTCATTTTACATGTATAAAAATAATTATGATGTTTCTAAAATATGCACACACCCTATATCAATTAATGAAAAACAATAGATTAAAGTGTTTCGTGCATGACGGATTTTAATCAATCTTTTCCAAGATGGCGTCGATGATTGAAGCTGCGTTGAATTGGCGAAGAATTTTGTACAGTTTTGGAGTTAATATAACAGATTTGGGTATATGTTGATCCAATTTTCAAAATTCGGTATTTTTTTACACCAAATTGCGCAATAAGATCAAGCGAGTACAGCATATTTTAATGTATCAGATGTGTTATTGTAGAAACTGGATCACATCGAGACAAGGGGAGAGTACTCGATTTTATACGCTTCCATAAATTTCCGACACATTTTATCATTTTCATTCATTGGATTTTTAGCTCAATCAGGCTAAATTACCCCGATTGAGCTAATTTAGCCCGATTGGGAGATGTGCCCAGCCTGTTTATTTCGTAGAAATCGACTAGAAATCGTGTTTGTATACATGAATAGATTGGACGTCGAAAACGACATGGATTGAAAATATTGGCATTTTTCTGAAACTTTTACTCATTTCTTTGCTATTTGAAAAATTTAAATGAAATAAAAAGCTTTAACGCTTGGATTGATCTTTTCAGATGGCGACCAGAAAGAGATAACCATGGATCTGGTCGTTTCTTTCAGCATTGTTCTTGTTTGTTCCGCATGATGTTTTTTGTTTACGTTATGGGGGCCTTTTATATCTTTATATACTATATAGACCGATTATGTAAAATATTTGATTATGTGACAAGCGCCTGTGAGTACATGTGTTCAAATTTGATTTGGAACGGCTTTGGAACTGGATTTTTTTTACAGAATTTAAACATTTAAATCGCTCTGACAGATCATAATTTTAGACATTTCTATACACCTCTATGTAAGCACTCTGACATTTTGTTTTGCCATTGTAAACGTCACCATCTATATATGAAACAATAGTATCCGCGAAAAAAACATTACAATCATTATTTTGAACTGTAAACAAATTCAAATTTTGGTAGATATAATGTACAATTAAATATCATATCGTAAATTTAATTTACCCATATTTTCATTAAACGTTCCCTTTTTCAAATATGGGTAAAGATGCAAGTCTGTGAAAACAGCGAGCTTTTCTAATGAAATTCACACGTCGTGGTTATTGCTGTATCTTTTGGGTTGAACATCACTATAAAAAATCAGGAACACGGACTAATTTAAGGGGGGTCCTACTTTAAAAAGTGAAAGAACTGCTAATGAGGAATTAAAAAACTCAAGATATAACTGTAATCATTGATATTATTAGCATTGTAAAATTATGGGCTAAAACAATTGTAGAAAAAAGAATTGCAATGATTTACAATGTGTTTCATATCAGATGAAAGGTAGATCTGGCTTCCATAACTTTATTAGTTAGAGTCCATCCGAGGGTAAATTACAAGAATCGTTCAGATAATTCTACAAGCAAACCACTTTGTATTTTAAAAGTCTGATATCTTACCCATCAAATTTCATCGAGACCCCAAGCTCAAAATTAATGTGGTTCCCAAAATTCAAAATGGCCGCCAAGATGGCGGCTGAAATTTATTAAATATTCACATACTCATATATTAATGTTGAAACTACCAAATTAGGATATTCTAATCATTTTTGTTAAATATAATTATTGTAATTGAACTGTTTTTCTAAATAAATTGATTTTTTATGAAAAAGAAGGATAAAATAACAAATTTTCAGCCATTTTATAGTTGAAAAATGTATGAAAAATCGAATTAATTACCAAAAATTAGGTTTCACTTTTGCTGGTGCTTCAAATGAGCCATCAAGTATATCAAACAATCATTAGTTAACAAGTTTATGGTATATTTTGTCATTTTACAAAAGTTTGCTACAACTGCTATGGCTTTTCTTTGTCTTACTTAGGCGACGCGAAAAAGTGGGTGGGGTAATCAGACCCTTATGTTAATAATGGTAATCACACATGCTGACTCTGCGCAATCCCAACACAATCACTATAGTGAAAATAATAATTAAAAAATCCTACTGATGTTTGGCTCAATTGCAGATTTATTTATGAAATATAAGTACAATTTCTCATTTTTAGATATTTAACCTTTTACCGCATGAGCATATTGTGAAAAATGGCCGTTTTTCATTGATAAGCCTCCTGTCACAAGTTCAAACTACTATGAAACTATGAAAAATGCTTCAATACTGATGACACTTGGCACATATGTTGACTGGACCATAGCCTCTGTAACCACATGCTCAATATTAAATTTACTATTACCATGGCAACGGAGGGACGTCTCAAAATTGCGAAAAATCACTATTTTGCATTGTGTTTTTTTTCATCAAAACTGATTTAAAAGTTCCTGCAACTTCTCAATGGATTGAGATAGAGTAAAAGGCTTTTCAGTGTTGGTTACACATTACCTTAAGATCGAGCTGAGGTCATCACTTGTCCAAAATTTGCTTGGTGATTAGGGGGTCTACCGCCCCTTCAAATCCCCGAACAAAAGGGGGCACATCCCTCTTCTGGCAACCTCTTGATGTACCTTTTTTAAGGGGTCAGCGCCGGAAAAGTGACACTTTTTTTTAACAACATTTCTCATATAAAAAACAGTATTTTGGGCCTAAATAGGGCATTCTTTTACTGTTTGAGGCCACCAAAAGGGGGGGGGGGAAGCCGTCAAAACACATCTATATGAGTTAAAAGGTTATACATGTATTAACATAAACACAAAAAACAACATATATCCCTTTACATTGTACATGTGACGTCATTTTCTAAAGTTGATTAAATTCAATTGGAGATTTAATTGATTTCTTACTGTAGTCTGTTTTTTTAAAAGAAATCAGACTGATTTTGATTTTAATTCTGATAAAATAGCTGATACCTTTTCTTCAGCATTATAACAGATTGCTCGCCATCAAAATAATGTATTGAAAAATAAAAAACCATGGTTTAATGATAAACGTTAGAAATCTGTAAGTCAATAGAACGTTTATAGTTTATCTTCGAGCATTGTCCAACATCCAAAAACCTAAAACATCATGAAATATTTAGAGCCAAAGCTAGTAGATCAATTCATCATCTGAGCGCAAGTCATGGAAGTCGTATGTTTTTAGATATAAATGCAAATATCCCTATTAAGAAAGTATGGGATGCAGTTATAGATGATAAGTGGTAAAATAAAAAAAACATATCCCACTACTTAGTCAAATGAAATCTAATAATTGTCAAGATGCAAAAACACAAAAGGTAATTAAGAAAACATTTGCAAAAAAAAACTCTTCTTCAAATAATTATTCAAATGAGTTTCTACAGCATTAAGTTTCTAAAGATGTAGGAGAACAAATAAATTTTACTTCAGCATTTGACAAAATTCACAATTCTCTCTTTTCTATCAAAGATTTATTTGATTTGTTCAAGAAAGCAAAAGTCTACAGCAGCAGGTCCAGATGACATTTACTACGATTTCTTTAACACCTTCCACATCAATCTATTGAATTACTGCCATTTTGTGCCCTTATTAACATATTTAAAACATTTTGTTATCTGGTGAATTTCCCTAAAAGTTCGAAAGGAGCTCTCGTTATCCTAATTCCTAAACCTGAAAGGGATAGCACTGACCTTGCAAATTACCGTCCAATTTCACTTACAAGCCTCTTATTCAAAACATTTGATAGAATGGTAAATAATCCCCTGGTATGGCATTTAGAAGTTAAAGCAATAATTTCTATCTTTCAGTTATGTTTCTGTGAACAACTTAGTACAAACAATCATCATATTCATCCCGATTTTTTTATATGAAAATCTTGAATAAATAAACAACTCTCGGCTTCAATTTAATTTGATCTTGTAAAACCTTATAATACAGCATGGAAACATGGTATTCTTAAAGAAATAAAGGATGCAAGATGAAATAGTAGACTTCCAATCTTTATTTCTACCTTTCTTGTCGATAGAAACTTTAAAGTAAGACTTGGTTCAACTTCTGATGAAAAGCTTTCTGTTCAATATACAGCTAGGGTATCATCAACTGGTAAAAGTCCTGCTAAAACAAAATTACATCTACAATATTTTTAACAAACTAAAGGAAGCTAGCCCCTTTGTTTAAAGGATAGTTTAGAAAAACTTTAAGTAGATCCAAAGTTTAAAATGTTGTAGATGTTTCTCTGTGGACTTAAATTCTCCAGAAGTTCAAATTAGTCTTTCAAATTTAAAAAAAGTCATCCATTTCTCCTGATTTTATTTAAGAACATTTTTCAAACTTCAAAGAACATCTAGATTTTATTCATATTTAAACAGACGATTCCAAAGATTGTTTTAAAGAAGGTGCAGTTGTCTATATAGATCATTTTACATCGTGAATGAGTCTACCTGATAATGTATCTATATTTACTGCTGAGATTTAGTCTTGTCAAACATCTATATTTACTGCTGAAACAAAAGCTTTTGATTTAGCCCCTTGTCCCAAAACATTTTACAGCAATAAATTTTTTAATTTGTTAACATTTTCAGATTCACTCTTCTGTACCTAATTTAATATCAATCAAAAAAATGAAAATTTGATAAATATTATGATAAATAAGAGCTCTTTTTGTGATTTCATGATATATTAAAAAAAAAGGCAGTAAAATTATGTTTTGGATGCCCAAGGCCACGAAGGAGTACAAAGAAATGAAAAGTTTTGTCTAAAGAAACATTAAAAAACCTCAACCCTTTACTGCAACCAAAATTTGCTGATTTTTAATCTTCAATAAATAAAATTATATCATCTGATGAAATCATATTGGAAAAATGTATAAACCCCCGACTGGGAATGTGTCACTATTCTTACTCTTATTAAACCATCAATGATCCAGGTGGTCTTCTGAGATAATCAACATGACACAATAGAGTTACACACTCTCAACTTTAAACTTGCCATTATGCTGAATGCTATGATCTTGCACAGGTTCATCACAGATATTACCGAGTGAATTCACTTTCACAACTTTTTGACTCATGTCCTTCCTTAACATTGATCAACTACTAAAGGATATAAACCTGTATTATAAACGTTATTAACTCCCTTTTTAACCATTTTTTAGGTTTAATAATCTTATATGAGCAAATTACTATTCATGTAGTGTTCGGCACGGTATGGCCAGTTGGTGTGTCAATGTGCCATTTAACCAAAGCACACGATCATAAATTAATAAAAGGTCATTGTCCAGACTTAACTTAAGTAAGCTTAGGAGCTGCATGCCTCCAAATTCCATGCTGATTTTTCAGGAAAATGTTAAACATGTATTAAAAAGTAAAATATTGTCAAGTGAACAAAAGAAAGAAAATTATACTTTCAAACCATACTTAAAATAATTATTAAGTAGGTCAGAATATGCAAATATAGCACTTACAAATACGGTGAAAAATACTGTAAAATCATGTATTAATTGCATATTACATTTAATTTATTTCTGAAATTGTGAATAGTTTAACCTGACTAAAATCTTTAAAATATTTTTTTTTGGAAGTTGATTTTCTTGAAAAATATTTAAGCTCATCTGGAGGCAATCAACTTGAATTTCTTTTATTTTTTTAATTTCTGTGAAGTTGTTGAACCACATAACACTTTGATTTTGATATAAGCCAATACATGAACTGGTCAAGACAAAAAAAAGCTGATCCAATATTTCTATGTCAGCTTCTTTGGACAAGTTTGTTGCCAGCAGAAAAAAACATGTATGTAACAGTTTAAATGTAGCTGTAATTAGGAAAAATGGTTACCGGAGGAAGTAAATGTGCTAAAGCTGATCTTCCAAGCTACTGTTACAAGCTACACAATTTCAAATTGTGTAAAATATTACTCAGCGACCATTAAATGTTACATTGTATTCTGTTGAATATACGTTTTAAACTGGAGTTATAAGGTGAAGTCCGAAATGTCTAAAAAAAAAGCGTGAAGTATGAGTCATTAAAATGCAAAACCATAAAAATCCTATACTGGCAGCCATATTTACCTCAATATCTTATGCCAAATATTATGTGCAACTCTGCAAAGATTTGTTTGTTTGTTTAAAAGACAAAACGAATAAGATATAATGCTATATTTTGCATTATTTTGCAAATATTGTAAAGTGTCAGAA